TCGATCTGGGTTGGACGGATCGATTTGACGGATTCATATTGGTTTTCGCCCAGCCTCCGCTAAACAAAGCCATCTCTACTCCCCAGTTCCAGGACCTCCACCCCGTTCAACTTCAATCGGAGGCGCACCCACTACACAATCAAAATCTTCTGTTCCTCTCCCAATTACCATACACCCTTGTACAGAACTACACTAAATTTCTCAGCCCAAATGCTTTTCCAAACCAAATTTCCCACTTCTCATCTCCCCACTTCAATTTTCCCCAGAACCCATTTTCCCAGGCCTTCATTTCCACCCTTTAAACCATTCACCTTGCAATCCTTTAAGCCATTAAGAACAAACCCATGTCACAGATTTTCAATCCAGCCTTTGAAATGCTCAGTTTCTGTAGTTGCTGAGCCAACAAACTTGGAATTCACCAGCAATCCCAAGCCTTTTCCTGCTGAGGTTTCGAGGACAATTATGAAATTGTCTTCTGTGGGCACTTTTTCTTCTTTGAGTCAAGAGGGTTGGCCTCTGGGATTTGGCGTTCGCTTTGCAGTTGACCTAAATGGGACTCCACTATTGTGCTTGAATGAGTCAAGTAGGAAACTTTTCGTGGATAAGAAGTGCAGTCTTCATGTTCAGGTTTGTACTTCACTGAATTGTACAGTTTCTTTCCTACTTGAATTATGTATAACGAAAATCTATTTTTGTGAATTTCTTATTTTATAAGTGTAAGGAAAATAATGGACTGTGATTACAAATTGCTTTCGACCAGCTAGAGCAATGTGAATTGCGGACGCTACAATGCACGATACATGGGAACCTTGATAAACCAGGAGATGGAATGGCTTTGAAGGTAAGAAAAAAGAAAAGAACCACCTTGTTTGCGTTTTAAGAGTCTTCAATTGTTTCTTTAGCTTGATTTTGTGGACCTGTTTAATAATAAGTGAAATTTTATGATAGGGTGTCAAACGAATTCCTATCAGTGTGACGATCTAAAGAAGAAAGGAATTTATTCGATACTTCAATATAACACTGTTAGGCCTACTTTAAGGTTCTGACTCTTAGTCTTTGTCCTTTTGTTTAGTTATGAATGAAGCTACGAGATATATGCAAGGTTATTTTATTCACGAAATGGCGGAGCTTTAATTGAGACTATGGAAGGAGAATTTATCAGTAGTTAGTATTTTGACGACTAGCTAGTCTCAGTTACTTGCATACTCACGCTCGTGCATGCAGAAGGCTTGATGCATTCGATAATTTTGCCATAATTGGGTTTTTTTAAATTCTCCAGATCACAGAACTAGATTATGGAGCCATTTGTTTTGAAAATCAGTTTATATTGATAGTAGTATGGCATTATTGTTTGTGTATAAATATTTCCTTCTTTTATAGAACCTTATTTTCAAATGCAATTTTTCTCCAAGACATTTTCATGAAACTGTTTAAAATGCACTCATTTGTACAATGTAACTCGATTAAAGACTTTTGACATAAATTGAATTCTCATTTGGTTGTTCAAGTTTTTTGACTTATAGAGGCTTTCTTCGGCGTGGAAGAAACGGTTTGGAGAAGAAGTGGATGAAAATAACATATATGTAATTGCCGTTGAACGGGCACTTCAGATGGCTGATTTTGCTGAGGTTTGTTGTATCCAATATTAGCATTATTTGATTTTTCATTTTTGCATGGAGCATCTCTCTCTCTCTCTAAGAAATGTATAGGTAGCTATTTGAAGCTTGTAAATAACGATAAGAATGACTGCAGGATGTTATGTGGGTTACATCATCTGAATATGCATCAGCTAATCCAGATCCACTTCGAGACTTTGCAAAGAAGATTATCGATGTAATAAATGAACACAATATGGAGGATGTTCATCGCATTTGCAACATTTATGTGAATTTGGATTTCCAGGTTTGCACCCAAACAACGATACAACTCAATATGTCTTGTTTGGTAGGGTATACTATTTAGATAGTATTAAAGTAGAAAAAAGAAGCTGAAATCATGTCTATAGTAAATCCAATATTCTATGCAAAATAATGTTACCGTTTTTATCATTTAGCTCTTCATATTAGCACAGGGACAAGGCAGTATCCACTAATTTGATTGGTTAAGGATTAATATGGAAGAAAAAGACATTCTTAAGTGTTTTGGCGTATCCGTATCGTATAGTGTTTGAATTACGTATCCATATCCGTGGTTTTTAGCTTTTTCGTCTATATTCTCTATTTTTCCATTGTTTTGGGTTGAATTAGTAGGTTGTTCTCGTTCAAATATTTTCTTGAAATTGTTCTTTGTTTCCTTGTCCTCATTTTTTTCTCCTTGCTCTCACTGTACTACTTAGACATTGATATCTTTTCTTTGCTATGGCCAGATTCACTTATATCCGTTAATCTGTTGTTCTGCATGAAATCGTTTTCCTCCATACATGGAAGCCCGTAATTAGAATACCTAAGAAAGGTGGCTTGTGTCCTTCCAAATAATGTTACTCTCTGATTGTTATTGGTGAAGGTAAAGGCTCGGTGCAAATACGAAGTAGCTTTAGATCTACAGGAAAATGGATATTGAAATTTGCAATCATCGTGATAGCATAAATGTTGCGCCAACCTTGTTTAGCTAACATGGCAAGGTTGAAGGCTTTTAGAATCCTGAAATCAAGATCCTGGATTTGGGGTAGCACAATTTTTCATAAGAAACCCAGTGCCTTGTGGAGAAAAGAATTGCTTGAGATAGATTGTACTATTTGGTCACAACGTGCAAAATGAGTGGCTGTGATCCATGCTCCGGAGGAAATTAACCCTTCTCAAAAGTCACCCCCAGTCAAAAAGGGGAGGGGCCGATTGCATTTTGGGAGTTTGAACACTGTCCCATTTTAACCAAAAAGACAACCTGTCAAAGATAACTACCATACCTTCCTTGAGAGTGGAACTCCAATCCCATTTTGTCCTTTTCTTTTGCATAACAAGCAGCCAGGTTATGTTTGAGGATTTTCACTTGAACTCATTTGTATATGTGTCAGTGAATAAAGGAACAGCAGCAAAAGGGAGTTCATTTTCTCAATTGAAAGGAAATATACTCTCGAAGAATCTTAATCTGATAATTTGGGGTAGGCTTAAACCATGCACTACTACCCCCACTCAGTAATGTATGGTATGCTGGGTCAGGACTCAAACAAGATTTTAACATCCTTTTCTTTTTCTAACAAAGCCAAGCAATATTAAATCCTCCTTACCAAACATGCACTCAAGGTATAACACGTCACGTGCATATTTGCAGTGAACAATGCCACAACACTTGAAATGAATCTGTTCTATCAGTATTGCTTATTGTGATCTGCATCAACTTAATTTGTTTTTATATGCTAATTTTGGAACTGATTCTGAAACCAAAATTGTCATCAAAATTTACTTCTGAGGACCTACATTTCCTTTCCTTTGTTCCTTTTGTTTCCTTGAGGATGGCGGATGTTGTTACACAAAAAACGAGTGGAGAATCTCTCTTGGTATTATATACCTACACGTGTTTTTCATTGAATTTCTTTTTCCCTTCAAAACTAGGTGTTAGATGCCAAGATGGTTTGGGTCGACCGGCTAGGTTTTGATATGCGCCTCAGATCTACACAAAATGATGTATTTGAGGTCCGAATTCCTTTCCCTAGAGAAGTGACGGATGAGAAGGCAGCAAAATCAGCGTTCAATGGTATGTCTCAACTTGCTTGGGAAGTGGAAAAGAATGTCCAAGTTCCAGAATTCACAAAGGTAAGACAACTGAAGAAGATAAGATCATAGGTGGAAGACTGCAATTATTTTATGTCTTCTCCATGTCTGTGTTTCTAACATGAAATGAACTTCATTCTTGTATTTTCTTTTTTTAACTTTTTGGTGAGAAGAGCCGAGGGATTCATAAGTCAATTTTGTACATCGAGACGAGTCTAATATATGGATAATTCATGTTCTTGATACAATTTATTAGTAGTTTTGTACATTGAGCTTGGCAAGTTGTTTTCCTAAGCTTACAAAACTAAGCACGGAGTTGGGAACGGTCGACCATGATGTTGCATACTGTGATAATTGGTAAATAAACCTTTTTCATTGTGGTACGTAGGGTTGGACAAAATGATCAGACCAAACCAGAATCAAATCGAAACGTGCATTTCGATTTGGTTATACCAAAAAATTAATAGTTATGATTTTTAGAACTGAAAACCATGTGGTTCCGATTTTGGCGAAACTTAGCCCTTGTTTGACATTCATTTTTTCTCATTTTTTTCTCTTTCTTCATTTTAACCACATTTTATTAATAAAATAATATTACACATAAATCCAAAAATTCTCCTTACTTTTTAATCACGCATTCTTCCATCAATCACTGTTCCAAATCATTTTTTTCTTCAAAAATGGATGTCAAACAAGGACTTAATATATATATATATATTTTTTTTTACAAATCAGTAAATCACACCAACAATTTCGACTTTAAAAACTAAAGTGTAAAATGGACAAAAATGTCATTTATCATTACATTTTAACTTTTTACCGGACAAAGGGACCAAACTCTAAATCTAAATTCTAATTCATTTATCTCCTTCTCAATTTTAGACACACTTGCACTCCTACACCAAAGCTACCATTATATTTGTTGAATGTTTGATGTTTATGTAGGTATATATTACTAACTTATGAATGTGGTGATGGATTTGAATTTGCATTTATCTTTTGAAAATTTGTAAAGGAACCAACATCAAACCAAAACCAAATGGTTCCATAGAAAATCATTGGTTCTTGGTCGATTCGATTTACTTAGAATCAGAACCAAATGAAGTCATGTCCACCTCTAACGACATACCATCTTTTTATTGAAACTTAAGATAGGAGACCTTAGAGAAAGTATCCACTTCCATATTAATTGTACAGAAAATATAAAATAGAATTCACACATAATTAAATAAATATGTTTATGTAGAAATAAAGGTAAGCGAACAAGTTGACTAATTTTGTCTGCGCCCCTAATTTACGCCTATTTTCACGACGCATTTACTTCTTAATTACAATAAAGTCGTGCTTAAACAGTTAAAATAATTTATTAAATAATTCGTTTTCATGTTTTTTTCCCAATCAGAAAAATACGCAACACGGGGAGTCGTAATTTTCCACATTGTCATTGGAAAAGTATCAGCGCTACCAAAACACTCGCCCGCGCCCCGCGCGTATATAGTAGCATTGATTAAATTATATTTGAGTTAATTTAGGACGTGTCTGGTGCTGATTCTTCATCATCAGCTTAAAATTGAAATATTGACAGTTGCTTTGCCAACGTAGACCCTACCTTTGAGATGGCTGGTAAAAAAAGAAAGGCCTGATTTTACACGTAACGGCTATGAAATCAACTTTTCTGTTTCAGGTACAGACATGCCCTTAATCAATGGTCTGTGAATTTTTTTATATTACTACTTGTTTATCGAAATTTAAAAAATTTTATTTACCTCAAAGTTCAATGAACAACAAGTTAACTCGACGAGCAATAAGTGACTTTTTAAAGACCGATGAACAAATAGCAAACATAGCAAAGCCATTGATTAAAAGAACCGTGCTATGGGTACACGGGCATTTACATGCCCGTGTACCCGTGCCAGGGTACAAATGGCTTTACTCTGATTAAAATTAACTCAATTTATAGTTATAAGTTAAACAGTTAGCGCCAAAGGATAAAGCAAGGAGGAGCCTCTTTACTCTCTTTTTCCCTGTCCATCTATACTCTTCTCTGCTGTGTTCCTTCCGTGGACACCATTTTCATTTCGTTATTTAGAGAGAGAAAACTGAATTCATTGCGCAAGGAGAGGACTGAAGTGGTAGATCTGAATAAATGGCTGTTGATCCGAGACAGGTGTTAGCAGGAGTGTTGACTGTGACAATGTTCGTAATGCTTGGCCACATGATCAAGCGCGACCACTTCGATTCTTTTCAAGTAGATACATACATGCACTTTAATTATGTGCCACTGTTATTATTTTCAAGTTTTTTTATGGATAACTATTAGTGCTTGATTTGTTTTAATCTGAATAGATAGTTTTAAACGCGATAATGCGCGATTGTAAAGAGATTTGATGTTGATTTTACTTAGGGATTTGGCTGTCGATTAATTCTGGAAGCTTGTTCCAGCAACTTTACATTTTTGCATTCCTCTTTGATTGTTCAATTTTGTAGATACTGCACTTCAATCCCGTAGTTCATCAATTACAAGGAGTGCTGTAAATATGAATATATAGCTGCATAGACTTTAGTACGTGAATGTATGAAATGAGGAAGAAGGAGAAATAGATATATCTATTAGCCATAATTCAATTAATTCTGTTATCTATCTGCTTTTATTATTTTTAATGTTAAAATGGAATATCAGACTTATCATTGATGTATAATTGATTGTCCGACTCAAATGATTTCTCTTCCCTTAATTTCTCATTTTCTTCTTATTCCTTTTTCCCCGTTTTACCCTTCACAAAGCCAACCGTTCACGAGACAAGAAGGGCTTCAGAGCATGGTCTTGTTAGTGTTACAAAAGGGGGTGAGAGGACTTGGAAGGAGGATGGTTTAACCCTAAAACCATGTTGGGATAAGCCAGTGTTGGGTGAGTAGAATGGAATTCTGACAAAAAATCAGCACGACTTTCTAATAACATCTGCTCGTTTTTGCCTTTTATTCTGTGACGCATCTTCTCTTATTCTATTGTTATGCATTTATGCTAACAGAAGAAGCAGGCGAAGTGCACGGTTATGTTACCTTCTCATTAACAAACGGCCCTGAATATCATGTCTCTCAGGTATCTTAATTTGCCATGTTCTTTGTATTTATTCTCCCTTATTTTAAGTTGTTATGAGCCTTGTTAATCTGGTTTGACATGTTAGAATAATGGCATTAAGATAATAGCACCAATGTCCTTGTGTCATTTTGTTCTGTAAAGCAAAAAGAAATTAATAAGAAGGATCCTATACTAAAACTGGTAACTTGTGCTCCACTCACTTTTATATTCTTGAGATATCACTGTAAAATGTGAAAGCTCCGCTTTCATATATTTCTTACCTTTTCGTAAACATTTATTCACTTGCATGACAAATGAGACATTTCATTTAAATTATTTGGACCTTTCCTTTTGCTTGATTCTGGTAATCTCTAACACTTCACTTCATCATTGTGATTTTATTATTCAGATTGCTGATGCAGTGGTAGTAGCGAGACATCTGCGGGCAACTCTAGTACTTCCTGATATCAGGGGAAGCAAACCTGGCGATAAGAGGTTAACACTTTATCTAATGAAGCTACAGTATTACATGCAACAGACAACATGATGAATCTTATGAGAATATTTCCAATAGATGTTGATTTAATGGAAGAACAGAGAGAAAAATTATAAGCTGAGTATACTGCCACTGCATTCAATTCTGTATCAGTGGACCTCACTTTTTTGTGTTCTCATTCTGTTTGAATTGTATATAATAGGTACCTTTCTTTCAACTGGTTTAAGATTTTAAACATGAACGTAGAAGTTGCAGATCAATACTATAGAATGCATACTACAAATAACCAAATTTACATTTTTTGAGACATCAATGTTTATATTTCGTGTCTGGGATTTTTTAAGTTTCACAGGCTGGCTATTTTAAGTTTTAAATTTTTTATAATCCGATTAAATGGTGTTATTAATGTGCACGAATGATGAGTACACACTGATGATCATAACGAGGAAAGTGCACTATTAATGTTGCATTATTTGTAACTTTCAGGAACTTTGAAGATATCTATGATGTCCAGAAGTTCATTACAAGTCTTGATGGTGTGGTGAAAGTTGTTAAGACCCAGCCTTCTGATGTATCATCACGTAATCTTGCAGTCGTAAGAGTCCCCAATAGGGTTACTGAAAATCACATAGCTGAAAACATCGAACCGATTTTCAGAACTAAGGGAAACCTGAGGCTAGTGACTTACTTCCCTTCAGTAAATATGAAAAAGAAAGGAGAAAAGGCTAGAACCGATTCTACTGCATGCTTGGCAATGTTTAGTACTCTTGAGCCACAAACGGAAGTTCTCGAAGTTGTCAACTCCATGATTGATCGCCTGAGAACCTTAAGTCGGAAATCAAATGGACAGTTTGTGGCGGTTGATCTAAGAGTCGATATACTGGAGAAAAAGAGTTGTCATAAAAATGGTGGTGCCCTTGGATCAAAAAGCTGCTACAATCCGCAAGAGGTAGCTCTCTTTTTGAGCAAGATTGGCTTTAATAAAGACACGACAGTGTATGTGACTCAATCAAAGTGGGATAGCAGCCTCGATGCCCTAAAGGACTTCTTCCCGAAAACTTATACCAAGGTAAACTTCATTTTTAATTTATATTTTGTCATTGTTATGGATTAAGTCGATATAGTAGTTCATCCTCCCCGACCTAGGAATATTAGGTCGATGTACAGTTAAAGGAATCTGTGTATAGAATTAATAGACTCCACAGAGTCTGATACTTGTATGGAAATAGGCTCATGATCACAGATATATGGACAACTATTGTATATATTTTTCACTTTATGTTCAGCTTTTCTTCAACTATCCCAGGAGTTGAATTTTATGCTATTTTCTTTGCCTTTGCTCTATCGCAGGAGGCTATAATGCCCATGGATAAAAAGGATAAATTCCTCAATTCTGGCACTTCAGAATTTGAAAAGGTAATCGATTTCTATATTTCTTCTGAGAGTGACATTTTTGTACCAGCAATCTCTGGCCTTTTTTACGCCAATGTCGCTGGAAAGAGAATTGCTTCTGGCAGGAATCAGATACTTGTTCCAGCGAACATTCCAGGTTCTTCTGCTACCTCTGCAGATTTCATTTCTCATTATGTGTCGAAAAAGAACCATTTTGCCTATACGTGTTTCTGCTACTTCATGTTGGAATGAACGACCGAACAGAATTCAAGAGATATTTATGTAGCTAGATTCTGAAATCCAGGCACTTCTCTTTCAGATCAGTCCAACTTTTCTTTGTAAGAATACGTGCAGTTAGCTGGTTAATTTTTCCATTTAAGAACTCACGAAAAAAGGGGTTATCCTTACAATGTTTCCCTTACTATAGAACATGTGCTTGTATTCCTGTAATAATTTACAGTTACCAATGTTAATGTTAATGGCACGGTCCATATGATGGGTGCCTCTCGTCAAAGAGGCTTTTTTTTTCGTTGCAAAAGGATCTCTATGTTGTATTCATCTAGAGAGATTAAACTTGATGTAAGAAACTCGTAAATTTATAAATAATGTGGTAATTTCGATGTTCAACTTTAATAAGTTAAATTTTGTTCACATTTTTAATATTACGATAAAAGTTAATAAAATGTGAAATTCAAATATTGTGAATATTAAGGACAAGCTTTTCTTAAATTCAAAAGTTAGTCATCCAAAACTTTTCTTAATTTCATTTTTAACATAGGCCTCACCAACTTTTGAATTTAAAAATGAAGTGCAATCTTTAAAGATTTAGGAGAAGCTTACTATTCGAACATCAAATGAAGTGCAATTTTTTTTCCTTTCAAAAGTTTTAAAGCATGACCTCTATTCATTTCAAAAACTACAATTAGTGCCTTCTAATTTTTTAACCAAAAATGAATTTAAAAAAAAAGGAGATTTTTTGCTTGGTATAATATCACACAAATGTTAATATGATGAAACTTTAAAAGCATGTCTTGTTTGGTACANTATCATTAGCACAGAGACAAATAATGAACAATAACAATCCCTCAATCAAAACATTTTCAGACGTTACTTCAACTACGATATAAATAGGAAACCAGCCTATCTTACATATGTTGTTTCTGTCAATACTATCAAGTAACATATAAAAATGGCAATCACAAATCATCACCATTTGCCGCAGCCCTGAGAACCATTTGCTCCGCCTCTAAATTTCCATTCTGCAAGAAGATAAATATAAATAACTCCATGCAATAGGCACAAACAGATTCCTAAATGTACATTGGCGCATTAGAGGATGTTTGGCTGAGATCATAATAGTGAAATTACGTCGAAGTAATTTTTTGTCTCCAGATATTTGAATAACTTACTTTTCTTGTACATTTTTCGAAGACAACTCTCACAACTTACTTTCAACTTTGACCAATAAAAAAATATTAAAGAATATTGACTTGAAACTTATTTATTTGCTTATAAGTAATTTAAGTTTAGCCAAACACACTATTTATGGCAAAGAGAACACTAATGGATAACGTACCTTGTCAATCCTATTGCGGGGAGGATTCGTTCCCATGGTTGCTGCCTTTGAAAGGTCCCTTAAAGTTCCCTAAAATAAGCAAATTTGGGCAAGACACAAGGCAAAAGAGGTCATTATTTCACAGTTCCAACTAAAATAAATTTTATAACTGGAGTGGTTAGCTTATTGACTTCAGAAACTTGGCTCAATTACGAGGTAAACAAACATCAAGTAATCAAGAGCAGCTCATCTATACTTGTATTGAGAAAAGACTTGATTTCATACGTTGATGTGAGGACAGCATCACAATATATGAACAGGTTGAATAATTTAGTGGTCAATAAACTTCTACAGAAATTTTATGTTGGTCACAAAATTCGTTTATATTTCAAAATTTAAATTGGTCACTTTACTTAGGCATTGCTATTATTTGGTCACTCCGTCCATATTGGACTAATAGTAGCAAAAAAGGTGAAGTGACAATCTAGTTATTTGCAACTTGATTGTCACGTCAGCATTTCTGTTAGTTGGAAAAAAGCTCAAGCAATAACCAACTTCAATGACCAACTTGAAAATTTGCAAAAGGTCAGTCACCACTAGTGTTGTTAACCTAAAAATGAAAAGCTCAATGTATAGGAAAAGGAAAAAATATGGGATTCCTTGCTGAATCTGGATGTGCACTATAGGGACTGATTATTTAATTGTCCCCTGGCAACACAAATTGCTTTGTTAAACATTATCTACTTCAACAAAAAATCCCTCATTGTTAGCAAAAAATCTTGCAGAAAGCAAGAACGAGAATACAGGAGGACTATCTAAAATGAATCCTAACATCTTCAATGAGAAATAACCATAAAACACATGCTGTGTGTACGAATTTGCACAGAAGTTCCTTGAAATCATAGGCAGTAATGGACGTGATTAAAGACTATTTCATGACAGCTTCCCAAACTCGATTAAGTTCTTAGTGTGATAAAACTTCACTAAAATTTTATCAGATCAAACTTCAATTTTAACCCCACGTTTCATAACTTTTATCAAAATCTGCCAAAACTTTGTCACATAACCCCTAAATAAGAAAGGAAGAAAGAAAATAAGGTGAAAAAGAGAGACGAGTTCATAAAATATGGAGCAATTTAACGCTGAATATCGAAATAATATATCTTAAAATCCCCATATTCACCTTATTAGCCCACATAAGTCCACAGGCATTACAAAGGGTCCTCGGCCCATCTGGTCCACGTCGCATCATAGGAGTTGCTTTCTCGTTGATACCACAGTGTCGACAGCTGGCATGGATATTCAAAAAAAAAAAGTAATGTTCCATTACTCCTATGTGATATGGTGCTACTGAACTTTTTGAACAAATAAAGAGTCACATATCATTTTCTTATTTAGTGCTAGATGCACAACAGGAAAAAAGAGCTTCTGGATGCCTGCTTATATATATCTTTATAATCTTTGCATCTAGGGAAAATAAATAATAAGGTCAGTAGGTCATGGGCCAGAAGCTTAACAGAAATACAGAACTAGAACATTTAACATTTCCTGGCAGTACACAACAAGCACCAAGCAACCAACAGTTAGCATATCCACATAATGATACCATTACGAAATCCATTTGCCACGGTATCATATTTATAAAATTGCTTGTTAAAAGCATTGTGTAGTCAAATAGTAACATAGTTCTGTGCTGAGCTTTTTAGCCTTATTAACATCACTAAAATTGAGGGTCATATAAGGTGTTCTTCATATAGCAGCTGGCCAAATTACATTAGCATCAGGATACAGAGTATAACAACCTCAACAGTCGAGAGTGACTTGAGCAAACACAAAGTGACAGAAAGAGAGAAGGAAGCAGGGGAGATACCAAGAACAAGAATGCTATATAACAAACAGTTGGCAAATGGCAACAGTCAGTAAAAGAGATCTAAATAAGAAAGTTGATGAAGATGAGCCTATGACGAGAACTCACGAAATCTCTTGAATTTGGGATGAAGTGCCATCTGCTCCCCAGTTTTGGTTTGACTCCCAACTCGAAACTGCTGATGCAGAATCATCCTGACTGGGCTTTGAGGATGTAAATTGTCCTTTATTTCGCTGCATCCTACAATAGTTGGAAAAAGATTAGAGAGAAGAATCCAAAGAGAACATGTAAGAGAAATAGACAAGTCCATGGCAAATTCAAACATAATGTGGAATGCACCCAAAAAAAAAAAAAATTCTTCATGCCTTAGAGCAACCTCCTTACGAACAGTATAACGGATTTTCTTTTCGAAATTTCGTTCTTTCCGCTTTTCACGGAATCTAATTAGTGAAGCCAATCTCTGAGGGACATTGAACTTCTGCGGGGTACTTGATAAACCCTGTTTTAAATGATCGTTAGATGGTTCTAAATGAGACAAAATGCTGAATATAACGAGTTAATTCAAATTATTCATACTCCACTATTATGCATGGATACTGGAACCGTAGGTATGTTAGGAGGTACTTCACGTCCCCCGAGTAATAGAAGTACAGCTTGAACCTGAAGGAAATAATTTAAACAACTTTAATTAACATCTCAACAAGATTAAGATAAGGACCAAAAAACCTCCCAATGAAGACAAGAATTCCTTTCAAAATCAATGTATACCGTCAGCATATAACACGGAAAGATGCGGAATAATTGGCACTATGCACATACTTTGAACTATGTATAGTCACTATAGTATAACTATATGCCTGAAAGATACCACTGATTTAGTTTACATGCTCGAAGTGTCAAAGAACATACCCCTCCTGATTTTATGCTCAATAGCAACATAATTTTTATCCAAATAACAACTAAGCACCTATTCATTCTTCTGTTTCACCTACAACTATTTCATTTTTTGCACATCCTATATAATTGTATTTAGTAGTCAATCCATTGGGCAGCCCTCTGTGCATACTATGATGAGTAAAAGCTTATATTTGTAGTACAACCATCCTGATAGGAAAAAGCATGTCGTCAAACAACCAAGTAAGCTCACAATCTTTAGTCATTTTCAGATAATAACACGATTCAAACCTATAAATTTACCTCAGTTTAGCAGATATCAATTGTTTAAAATACACGAAATGAGTATTAAAATTCTCTCTGCATAAGAAAGATACCTTTTCAGGAGATACAGAGTCAAAAACATAAACCTGCCCCTGAAAAGAGAGTGTTAGCTGGTTATTATCCTCAGTGCCCCCTCCTTGAGACACCAATGCACCATGGTTATCAGATAAGTTCCCGGGATCAGCAGAGACCTCCCCGTCCATACCTTCACTTTCTCCACCACCACTATCGTGGCCATGCTCATCATGGTCTATCACATTCCCATTGCTCATATGATGATGCAGCCCAGGATGATGATGGTGGTGGTGATCTTGCTCTTGCATATAATGGCCCATCATTCCTGCTTCGCTCCCATGCATACCATCCATCTTCACTTCAAATTAGAACAGTAAAGAACACCCTCTATAGACCTACAGCATTCAATCCACACAATATTGATGACTCAAACCTTTCGAGAGAGAGAGCGCATCATATATAGTCATATATAGTAATAATGCACTTCACATTCTTAAAACCATTGTTTAGTTAGCCATTGCCCTATAATTATCGAGCATTAATTAACATCAATTTCAGAAAACCTAAAAAAAAAAAAGGCATGTTCACTAAGGGATAAGAATGCAGCAATATTCAACTTCGTGGTTAATTAATCAACAGTCAAGAAACCAAAAATTAAAAAATTAAAAGAACCTAAGCTAAAACTTACGAAAAATTATGAAATTGAATTATGAGTCGAAAAATTTAGCAAAAACGATAAAGCAAAAATACCATCAAATTTGGAAGTTAAAAATATAACGAAGAATTTGAAGAGTCTGCTGGTCGGAGAATTAAGGATTGGCGGAAAAATGGAAGAGATCGAGGGATTGGGGACCAATGGACGGTGGAGATCGGACGGAGATTTGGGGTAGAAGAAGACGGGGAAGACGCGACGAAAGCGGGCGTTTTTTTATGGATATTGTTACGTCCAGTCAAACTTGTTTACGAAAAAGATAATTAGGGTAAGAAAATTGTTTGGGTAATTCGCGCATATCCCCTAACGTTTGTATATTTGTGAAATTCGTGCTACTTGTACAATTTTCTTTATAGTTTCGTGTTGGGTACGCATTTATTTATTTAAAAAATTATTTTTTAAATCAACAACACGAATATTAACAACTCACCACTCGTACAACTAGATTAATTATTGTGGAATATCTTCGTTAGCATTTTATTCTGGTGCAAATTTCTCTAAATTAACCAAACATTGTAGAATATCCCCTATCGTCTATATTCAATAGTTTACCAGTTCAAAATTGTTGAAAGGGCTAAAAATTCAAAATGGTATTTTCGTCTCTTCAAATCCAAACACTCACTTAAGACATCGAATAAAGAAATTGATATTATATAAATGGATAGTGAATGATGGATGTAGGTAGTGAAAGTTGAAAATTAATTTGTGATTTTATAGTGATGTGGGTAGTGAATGGTGAAAATTAGACTTTATGGTCCGTTTGATTGCAAGATGGAAATTGGGTGGAAAAGGAAAAGAATTCCAGGGAAAATAATTGCCTAGAAATTATTTTTCCCGAAAATGTTAATTAGTTGTGTTTGATTAGTATAATTTTCCACTAGAAAATAGTGAGATTTTCCATCTTTTGATGTTTGATCGACATTGAAAGTTAACAAAAAATTTCGACAATCGAGAAATGTATTCACCAACTCCCGGCTCCTACTTCACCACCGACTAATCCAACTCCAACAATTTCTCCAGCATCAACGCTGACTTCAACATCAACGCCTCCTCTTATTCCAATAATTTCTCCATCAAATGCAAGCCCAACTCCCGTGGCTGTAATGGTTGAGCTTGAATCTCAACTCAAAACCAACAATTCCAGCAACAATAACACAAAAATTGAAAAGGAAATTCAATATATTATTTGCAATAAACAAATTAATTACAGCAATTAGTAAGAAATTAGAGAGAGATTAATTCAGAGAGAGGGATTTTTTCAGCTTCGACGACGGTCGGCGCCTTTTTCTCAGCTTCGGCGACCATGGCAGCCAAGATATCATTGGCCGACACCACGGCGGTCGGCGCCCTCCTTTGCCACTGGAATCGACAAATATTACGGTCCGACCGCAAGTGCGTTTATTAGGAAATCGCTGCCGATGAGGGAAACCGTAAGGGGAACCACTGGCCGACACCACGACGACCTCCTCTCGGGGCCGATGAGGGAAATCACGGCCGCAAGGATGGGATTCGTGAGTTCTATCTTTGGTGGAAAATGTATTCCTTGGTGAAGGAGAGGAAAAGGTTTTCTTTCATTTGGAGGAAAATATGGCGCGTGAGGGTTAAAGTGGTAAATATTGACTGGAAAATTAAATATATCAAACATGTTAAAAAGAGAGAAATGGAAAATGTTTTTCTAGTTCCATAGAAAATTTGTTATATCAAACGAGACCTTAGTTTTGTTGTTATTTGGTATTAAATGTTAGTGAATGTTATTGTTTGCATTATTGTATTGCTCTAATATGTTTGGTTTTCTATGTAGTATTATTGTATAAAAAAAGTGTAATACTGACTTTTTTGAGTATTTGTTACGTTCTTCTAACATTGGAATTGGTAAATTTTGGAAAATATAACTTAGAAATTGTTAAATTTTGCGAAATATAACCCTGAAACTAGTTAATTTTGCAGAATACATACCAGAATTGGTAAAATTTGCGCAAAACAATTCTAATTAGATCTTAACAAGCAGGAAGCAAAAATCAGGAAAAGAAACCAACAAAATGCAAACCTTAACTAATCAAAATAAACTAGCAAAAACAATCTTTCGATGCAATGTTGTCAAATTTCAAAATCGAATTGATCATAGATGCTTAAGAATTAATCTGGTTAAATATAAATAATAAAAATTGTTTAAAGCATGTTCTCACCAATCTTAGATAACATATTTCTTTTCATTAATCTTGTTTTAAACCGTTTAATCTATGATTCTAGATTTGAAAGCATTGTGTGCATTCTTTGAGGGTATAAATTGAGAATGTATATTTATGGGGACTTAAGATGCAAATTTAACTTTTAAGTAATGTTTGAGCTACTTCATCCGCCGGGTTATGTTTGGGCCATGTCCTGATATAAGCCCACGAAGTCGTGACTATTTGGGCATCTCTATTGAGAGGTCAAATTTGATGTACTCGGTGTAAAACCCTCTGCAATGATATCCCAAATATAGTGCAAAATATGATCCATGTTCGGCTTTCATTAAATTAAAATTTATTTTTCTTTGTCTTTTTGTTAGCCACACTCTCCAGTAATCTTATACGTAAATTTTAAAAAAATTCATTCATTTTTTACTATATATATTTTTTAAAAATTACTATTCATTTCATTATAATTTAAAATAATGAAGCCCAAATAGGGGCATAGTGTAATTAATGGTATTACACCAAATATGATGTAACACTATTCATTTACACCAAATATAAGAATTTTCAATAATTCTATTTTGCTCCTTTCCTCTTTACAAAAATTATTTATTCCGTCTATGTCCATCCATTTTTCTATTATTCAATTAATTTGACCAGCATTCCCTAAAATTGAAGAGAGTAAAATTGTTATTCTTAATTAAAGTATTTAAAAAGGAAAATAAAAAAAATTCAGAAAATAAACAAAAGAAAACAATAATGACAAAAAGGAGAAAAAAAAAAAGTAAATTAAGAAGGAAAAGAAACCATCATCTTCTTTAATTAAACTCCACTCAAGGTTGGGGTTCAACCTTTTTAAACTCCACTCTACCCCCTATCACCACCAAACGTCGGTACATCAATCAATCAATCTAAGCTATTATTCATTCCATTCTGCTAGTCATGTCATAAAACTTCACGTATCGTTCTATCTGCAAGTCAATCTGTTATGTATGAAAAGAAAATAATTCTCGTTTGTGTTAGCTTTCTTGAAATACCCGATACAACCCCTCCCTTGCTCATGGTGGTGTTGGGGATGGGGGTGCTTGGTTGCGTGCCGATGGTGGAGGTGGAGGTGGAGGTGGAGAATAAAACAACATTTTTCTTTTTTGCTTGTTTTGTTCTATATTTTCATTCATTTTGAAATTTGTTTAACTATGAATATTAAAATTACAATTTTATCCTTTTTAGTTTTTGAATATGCATGTCAATTGTGTGGACAATCGGCCAAATGGATGTAATCCATTCATTTGGATTAGCAGCGCATAATTTTTAAAGGTTAAGTCTTATGTCGATCACAAAAAAAAATTTGGGACATGAAATGCCAACAAGTCGGTTCGTCCATCTATCGCTGCATGAAATATTATCGGGAGGCTAGGCACAAAGGAGACGAGGAAGGAAATTTAGAGATGGCAAACGGACTGAGCGGCTCGTCGGCTCGGCCGCTTTTTCACGAGCCGCAAGTGGAAAAGGCTCGGTTTTCAACCATACATTCTATTAATAAAATAATATTACACATAAACCAAAAAATTCTCCTTACTTTTTAACCACACAATCTTCCATCAATCACTATTCCAAAAATTATTTTTCAAACAAAATGGGTGTCAAACAGAGGGTAAAATTGTTATTCTTAATTAAAGTATTTAAAAAGGAAAATATAAAAAAATTTCAGAAAACAAAAGAAAACAATAATGACAAAAAGGAAAAAAAAAAAAAGTAAATTAAGAAGGAAAAGAAACCATCATCTTCTTTAATTAAACTCCACTCTACCCCCTATCACCACCAAACGTCGGTAAATCAATCGATCAATCTAAGCTATTATTCATTCCGTTCTGCTAGTCATGTCATAAAACATCACGTATCGTTCTATCTGCAAGTCAATCTGTTATGTATGAAAAGAAAATAATTCTCGTTTGTGTTAGCTTTCTTGAAATACCCGATACAACCCCTCGTTCATGCCTTCATGGTGGCGTTGGGGATGGGGGTGCTTGGTTGTGTGCCGATGGTGGAGGTGGAGGTGGAGGTGGAGAATAAAACAACATTTTTCCTTTTTGCTTGTTTTGTTCTGTATTTTCATTCATTTTTAAATTTGTTTAACTATGAATATTAAAATTACAATTTTATCCTTTTTAGTTTTTGAATATGCATGTCAATTGTGTGGACAATCGGCCAAATGGATGTAATCCATTCATTTGGATTACAAGCGCATAATTTTTAAAGGTTAAGTCTTATGTCGATCACAAAAAAATATTGGGACATAACCGCAATCACATATTCAAAATGCAATGGTAGACGTGAAATGGCAACAAGTCGGTTCGTCCATCTATCGTTGCATGAAATATTTTCGGGAGGCTAGGCACAAAGGAGATGAGGAAGGAGATTTAGAGATGGCAAACGGGCTGAGCGGCTCGTCTGCTCGGCCGCGAGCCGCAAGTGGAAAAGGCTCGGCTCATCGAGCTTGTGAGCGGCTCGTGGGCTCGAGAAAATTCTTAAAAAAAGTGAAAAAGTAAAAAAAAATTCAAAAAGCTCGTGGGCTTGGGCCTTGGCTCGGCTCGTTAGCTCACGAGCTCGTGGGCCGAGCCGGCTCGACTCAAACCATTGCCATGACTAAGGAGATAAAAATATCGATTGTGCCATATGTACATCACAACTTAAAAATTTGTTTATCAATGATGATATAACGAGATTTAACTAAGTCAAAATCTCGCCAACCAAATAAAAAAAAATCCCTCAAATTCTTTTTGTCGTTAACCTATACATAAGTACAACCATTTAAGTAGTGAAGATATTTTTATAATTTTTAATTCAATTTATCCCACATCATCAATCTACAAGTGATAATATACAACGAGTATTTTTCTTCAAATATCTACATTTTCTATCTCATTTTCTAATTTGACTTTTTTATTTACTTAATATTTTTTTTTTCATACGATTTAAATTTTTAAACGTAGAATATAATTAAAAAAAATTAAAAGTTTGGGTTTAAGCATTATGCCATTCCCAATGCTTGTCTTGGGTGCTCTTAAATGCTCATAAGTTGCGAGTCATACGAAATGTGAGGATAATAAAAAAGGGGTGCATTTATTTTCTTGTTTTCAATTTTCAGTTTTGTAAAACACTCAAAACTTATTTTCGTTCTTATTTTTTATAATGCATATTTGAAAACAAGGTTAAACTTATAACACAAAAATATGTAACATTAAAAAAATAAAATATTTGAAAATTCTAAAAAATTTTAAAAGAAAAGTCTTAAATTATAAAAAAAAATCTTAAAAAATTTAAAAAATTATAGGAAAATCATATTTTTAATAATAAATAGTTCAAACTGTTAGGGAATATTTACATAAAAAATATAAAAGATATATATTTAATGAACACATATAAAAATTTTCATTAAAATCATATTTTTGATAGATTTTGATAAAAGTTGTTGAAAAGTCATGGTTTCTATGAAATATGTGGTTAAAATTAATTATTGATTTAGATTTAGATTAAAATTTGAATTTTAGTCCCTACCAAATAAAGTCTATATATTGCTCGATAATGTAATAACATGAAATTATTTTATTTTATTAAACAATCAAATTTCATAAAATAATATGTCATAAAATAATTTTCAAAATTTCAGGCAAAATGTATTTTATAATTTTCCGTTTCGAGAAAAAAAATTCAAAATGATAACCAAACGCATTTTTAGCAATCTTAAAACTTATCCTCAAAATGGAAAACTGAAAATCGAAACCCACACCAAACACGGCCTAAGTATTTCAATTGCCATGAACTTTCCTAAAAGTTTCTATTGAATTTTAAAAGTTCTCCAAATTGAAATTTAAGTTTGCCAAAAAGTTAACAATAACCATTAAAATTTAAAAGTTACACAAGTTGCCGCTGAACTTACTATGCTTTAAAAGTTACGAATTTGATGAACTTGATCAAATCCATTATCCTGTCTACAATATTAAGAGTTTGTTTGGTAGAAATTTTAATCCAATTAAAATTGAAAATATAGCCGTTATTGGGTCCCACTCGTCTCATAAAAGTCAACAATAACGACTAATTTTTCAATTTTAATCCGATTTTAATCTCTACCAAACAAACTCTAATTTTATAAATGGCGAGTGCCGAAATTGCATATGATGATCACATTTTGATAAGTTCAGTATTTAAAATTCAATGACAACGTAAGAATATTTTAAAAAATTATGTGACAACTCGGAGACTTTTTAAAGTTCAATCTCAATTGAAAAATATTTTTAAAAAAATTAGTTACAATTGAGATATCAACCTGATAACAAGCGAGTAATAAATTGCAAATCTTTAAAACATACGTGAATAAAAAATATATTTTACCAACTTATATATAATTTAAGCTTTGCCAAATATGTTATTAGGTTGCGGTACACTATTTAGCATTAATAATTTAGGATGGTTGAACGACGTATATTAAAAAAGAGAAAATCGGTCATCGGTTTTTTATTACAATTGCATTATCAATCCTCAATAGATTTTTTCTTAAATCGTCACATGATGCTCATATATTCGTCTTTATTGAGCTAGTTATCATTTGAACTCGGACTAATTCTCACATATTTGATGTGAGTCGTGTTTTTATGTTGATTACAACAATTTAACCCAAACCTGAATGGTTTTGATCATTAAAAAATAATCAATCATGCTACATTTACATCATTTTTTCATTATTTTTGATATTGTGCCAGATGACAACACATTAATGAACATTTAAAAAAAATTACACTTTCCCGCCGACAATTTTTTGAACTCCAATGGAATGTACACATTGACGTCAATCAAATAATGTACACTTAGCATTATTCAAAAATAATTATAATGAATATTTTGAATTTTCATTAGCAATGCCATTTGAACAATAGATTGAGCACCAACAGTGCAATTTAAAGTACGTTTGGCCCCATTATTAACGGGAAAGGACGAGGGCAAACGGGACTAGGGCCCACCAAAAATCATTACTTACCTATCTTAGGTGCACGAGTCATGGTATAGTACTCACAATCACACCCATCTCGTGCTCAACAACCGCAGGATATTCGTGGTCTCCATTAAGCCATCAGCAATCAACACCTCTCTTTTCGCCACGTGGGTACCATGTTGTAAGTATATCATCATCATGGTAATTACTATTTTCATCGTGTGGCCATCAAGTAGTTTTTGTCCTGCGGTCATTGATGAGGGTAATCAATGATCATTCGACGATTTTGATTGCGACACGTCACTACTGTAATGTGGGGTCCAGTTAGTTTAGCTTAGTTTGAAAATTTACGCACCGTACTCGAATTTGAACCAACCAGGTATATAATTATTTGTTAAGCTGTCTAATCCAAGATATTTTAGGGGGAAATTGCACTGAGTTCCCTAACATTTTTAAAAAGTGAAAATAGATTCCAAATATTTATTTCTTTCAATACGTTGTGTGGCCAAGTGGTTGGGATGGCAGTGGTAGTAGTAGAGGTGAGCATGACGTCAAGTCATCGTGCCCTGGACGACACACGTGCTATAATGATCGGGGCAAATGGTCGCGGGATAGTGTGGGTCAAGGAATGACGTTTTGAGGAGTGGTAGAGTGAAAGGTGGACAAACTTTTTCTTTTTTATTTTATTTTGCTAATTAAGATTATGTGGGATGAGTATTTGATAATTAGAAAAAGTTTAGCGTAAGGTAATCGCGACCGTATTTAATAGTCGTTTGGGTAGATTTTATCCAAGAGTCCTTGCTGCATAGAAATCTAAATGTTAGGGATGGAGATGCAAAAAATAATAAATTCATGGAGAATTTGCACTTTTTGCAAAGGCTAGAGACCCTGCCGCAACCTTTACTACTTTTGGGCTGGTTGCCCACAACGCCACAAATCGCAAAGTTATTTACATATATCATTTTATTATTTTTGGAAACTCATCTTTAAACAATGTCATAAACGCTAGCTATGTTTGAGCTCTATTTTTAAAAAAAAATAATTTTTAAATATACATTTTTTGAATAAAATAATTTTATGTGTAACATAATTTTTTTTCTATTTTTTAGACATATATTCTCCAAAAAAAATCACTATTACAAAATCTATTCTCCCTATTAGAGTTCAAACAAATCCTTAGATGAACTAATCTAAATTTGTTCGAAAGACAATCTAGTTATATATTTTTAAAAAAATTAAAACTCGTCACCGCAAAAGAAGGTAAAAAATTTTACTTCCCATGCGACTCTAATTCGAATCCGATTTAAGTCCATGATTTTTAACCTCGTAACTTGTTTAATTCAATGTTTGAGCTTATTTTTCGAACATTTAGAACAAGGACTAGATGAGGTAAATATGAAACAGAAGAAGGGTATTAGTGCAAAAGAAAAGGAGAGAGGGATTTAGAGCGGAAACAAGGTTTTGTGGACAAGGATGGACCTCAAGAATCTATGACAAAGAAAGAGTGTGGGTACAATAAAGAATTCAAATTTCGAATTTAAGGCTGCTAGTCGCCCCACATTGCGACTATATAATCTGTTATTCTTCCACTTTTCTTTCGAGCCCACAAACATAAAATTGAAAATTCCTCACCTTGATTTTATCCCAGTGCAAGATTTTTCAACTTTTTGTTTGTTCGACCGGGTGATTTGTAATTTAACGATGATAATTAGGGCTTGTGAGCTATGCAATACAGAAGCTGCCATTTATTGCGCTTCTGATTCAGCATTTCTTTGCCGGAGCTGCGATGCCAATGTTCATGAGGCCAACTTTCTTGTAGCTCGCCACCTTCGTCAGATCATTTGCTCCCAATGCAAAGGCCTCACCGGAAATTTCAACTCCGGCGTCGGTTTAAAGGCGTTATCGGCGATTTGCTCTTCCTGCTGGTCTCCGTCCGCCGGAATCGACTCGGATTCCGATAATCTGTCGTCTTCAAGTTCTTCGATTTGTGTTTCAAGCACCACTACTCTGAAGAAAGCATATTCCGATCGCCGGAAAACCTGTGGGTTTGACTCTACGACGCCGGTCAATGACGGTTCATGTGAGTTCACGTCGGGAAAGTCTACGAAGAATCAAAGAGAAATGAATTCCATTAGATCAAAATCTCCGTCGAAGGTGGATTGGAAAACGGAGGGCGTTTTTGTCAATTGGTCTGGAAAACTTGGACTTCGTACCAACGACGCCGTACGGGTGGCCTGTGATGCATTGACGGCGTGCTTGGATAAATTGCCCTTCCGGGTGTGCCTAGCGGCTTCGATGTGGCTCGGTTTGAGATTTTGTGGCGACAGATTGGCTTTGACTATGCAAGCTTTGCAGCAGCTTGAGGAGATGTCCGGCGTGCCGGCTAAGCTCATATTGGTCGGCGAGTCGAAGCTCCAACGGTTTCTGAAGGCTAGAAGACATCATCGGCGCGACCATCAGCTGAAGGAAGGCTGGGCTGAGTGTTCGGCTGGCACTTTTGATTAGTTTCGAAATTTTGTTAATGGACAAAAAGAACTTGCATTTGAGCTTAATCAAGGTCCACGACTAGTAAATTTAGCCCTTGTTTGGTGCTGCTAAAAATATATTAAAAGTTTTTAAATTACCAATTAATTTTAATCATATTTCATGGATTCACAACTTTTCATCAACTTTTATCAAAATCTACTATAAATCTAATTTTAGCTACATCAAATTTCGAAGCTTAATACCCTGAATTCCTTATTAATAATATCAATGTTTTCCCAAGTCGAACGCATATCCCCGTAAGCATTTTCATTGCTCGTGCTAACATTCAGTCCTCCATGTTTGCACCATTTTCTTAACACTGCCCCTTCTTGAGGGCGTTTTAGAATGAACTTGTCAATTACTAACATCATGGGATCATTTGCTCTCAACAGACTAGCAAAAATTGCATGAGTCGACTGTTCATTGTAACTTGACATGTTTATTGCACCATGTTCGACTTTGATAGCAATGTCCTTAACAATGTACCTTAAATCAGTGTTAGTAGTCGTGTTCTGGAATTCGGGTGTGTTGCAAAGTACATAAATAGTTTTCTAGGAAGTTTGTCCCATCCATTCACACAATGTTCAATCAAGGCCCTGCTTAACATCATCCAAGGGGAACCTCGTTCAAAACAAAAACCAAAATAAGTAGAAAGCAAAAATAAAGCAATTTCAAAAAATTATTTTTCTCAAAATAAGTTACATGAAAGCAACCTCCAAATATTTGAAATGCCTCTGGTATTTCTCGTCTCTACAACAGCATAAAGAATGTCACTCCTCTTTTAAGGTAGAGATTGCTATCTACAACAATCTGGCCAGCATTATGCCTCCTGCACAAATGCATACATTTCCCAACATAAAATTATGGTAAATGAAAGAGATTCGAGTAATACTAGATAATTTAAGGTGCCGGTTAAACTGTAAACCGACCCCCATGGTAATGGCCAGTTTTGAGATGGTCACAGGCCAAAATTTTCTAGGTTGGACAAGTCGTGCCTCCGAGCTTTACAATTTATTTGCCCAAAGGTTTTTTCACTTTATTTTTACGTATAGAAGACCGCAGATGCCAATATCAGTGCTCTATGGCCCTTGAAAACAATACAGTGCAGTTCAAGCTTTGCTAAACCTTAGATTTTTCCCTTCGTTGGATAGTCAGACACCTTAAACTCTCGTATAGATACATCAAAACAAGACACCAAAGAAGGAAAAGAAATTGTAATAAAAGTAGCTTTTTTTCTTTCTTCTTCCAGTTAGTGCTGTTTGTGTAGTGCTCAAAGTTGAGATCTCTAGGCAACGTCTTCAAAGCATAGAGGATATCTGCACATAATAGAGTTTTGAAATAATATATTTTGAAAAAATGTATACCAAACATGGGCTAACCTGAAAAGGTATAGCATTCATTTTACCATCTTGACTGAAGAGTGGATAGTCTGAGGTGCTTAATGTAGTGAACCAGTCCCAATTTCTGTCAAGTTTAAGCAGCAACGCCCCGGCATGAAGAATCGCAGCAAGGGAAGACACCCCCATTGGGTCGATCAGATAACGTTTTCCTACAACGTTAACATTCCCGAATGCGCGAAAAACCTTTTCCGAGTGCACAGAAAGGGCTAATTCCGCCGATTCGTGGTCGGACGAAGTAGCATCAAGGTGTAATAGGTACTGATTTCTTGGATGATAAACTGCCTAATAGCCTCAAGATTCTTTTACTCCTTTCGAGCCAAATATCCAATAAGCTAGGATTGGAGGATCATCAAGGCCTTTTCTTGGAATTCTAAGGCTTGTGAAAACTTGTACTAGGAAATTTATCGTCAGTTTCAGACAGCTGTGTCCATGTTACTAAAAACATTAGAGCTCCTGCAAGGCTTAGAAGCCAAAATCGAATTCCGAAAAGCATTGGAATTTTGTTTGATATCCTTATCTGTTAGAACTAAAATACGACAACTGCGAAATTAGGCCTAACGACACAAATCAAACCCGTCTGTCAAAACAAACAGGAAGCACAAGTATGCATGATTTTCATCAAAATAGTATAGGACAAATGGATTCACACAGGTTCTTTTTCTTGAGGGTACTCTCGAAAACAGATCCAGGGGAGACCGGATGGGGCTCCAAGAAAAAGTATGCATGATTTTCACAATATTAACATAAGACAGATACTATGATACCTATAGAAACTGATTTTCTTGGAGTTCTATTTGTGTAAATGATCAGTTTGTACACTCGATCATGATCATAAACCTGTCAAATGCTTGATGATCACGAATCTTGATGAACTCTTTGAACGCTGAACAATTTAGGAAGAAAATTTTAAGCTGAAAGCAAATGTGAAATGACAACAAAATATAGTTGATTATTCAAAACCAAGAAAAGAACCCGTCCAGTACAAGAACTAAGGTAAAAAAAAAATTAATTCATTGTTGATGTAATTCAAAATTCCTGTTTTGCCTTTCATTTAATATTACAATAAATTGTAATTCTTTCTATATTATTTTTTGTTATCCTTTCAGTATTTAATAATTTAAATTTATTTTAATGTGATTATTATTTCGATTAATATTTATTTGTAAATTCTAATCAAGGAATAAATAATAAGTAATATACTAATTCCGAGTTTGTGTTCAATGTAATTTTTGTAATTGTGGTATTCGGTCTAATGTTTTTTTCTTGACTTATTAATAATGCAATATCTCAGTTCATTATATATAATTTTTAATTTAATAATTTTAGTAATTATATACTTTTTAATTAAATAAACTATGAAAATAAATGATTTTCGAGAAATAATATAATGAGAAAATAAAGAAAATACTATTCACTTGATGAAATTTGGTGTAGTACTTACAGAAAATTATCTAAACCGATAAAAAACGAACTCTCTAATTTTTCGATTTTTGAAAAGACTTTTCAAAAGGGTCCTAAATCATGTTTCCAATTAACGAGGATCATAAGGAAAAATTCATGGATCAGATATTAACTTTGACATTTGCAAAAATCAGGTTTTTACTTTTTATTAATTAATTAAATATTTAATTGTGCAATTTGGTCACAGATATCTTATTAATTAGTTAAAAATTAATTTCAGGTCACAACTTATCAAATTAATTGGTCATAGATTATTTCGATAATCAGGTGCTAAACTTTAAAATTGTAAAAATCAGGTTTCTACTTTTTATTAATTAATGAAATATTTAATTGTGTAATTTGATAACATATATCTTATTAATTAGTTAAAAATTAATTTTAGGTCACAGCTTATCAAATTAATTGGTCACAGATTATTTCGAGGTCATAAATCAAAAAAATTATAGGTTACAATTGACTTCGTTGGTCACATATCAAGAATTTTATGGTCACTGGTTATTTCTCGACAACGAATTAAAATTTTTTATAGGTCACATATTGAAAAAAATTAAAACATTTACTGGTCACAACTCTATTACAGTGAGTCACAATCACAATTTTTAGGTCACGGACACCCACCCACGATCGTCGGCGCCGCCACCACAACCAACATCCCAACCACCACCAAAATATTAGATCCACATAACCACATTTGCACAATTATTGCCCCACCAATCCCAAGAAGGTTGAGACAAGCAGACTGCGAAGCCAGTTGAGTTCCACCTCCAACTGTGCTGACCTGGAAATAATTTCAATAAAAAGATGTCAGGTTAATTCGTGTACGTCAATATGAGCACATCTGTCAATGTTAAAGATTTCTGAAACATAACCAATAAAGAAAACTGAAGTCTGAATGCTACCAGGTCCCAAATCAAAAATTGATTCATTCACTAATTCCACTTTCCAAAGAGAAAATTGCAGTATTGATTAATTTGTAAGGATATTTTTAAGGGGGAGGTGGAGGCGGTGGAGAGAAATGGAGAGAGAGAGAGTGGAGAGAAATGGTGAGGAGGGAGAAGAGGAGGCCACGGGAATGGTAGAGACGGAATTGATAAATTAGGTTAAGAACTAGAGTTTTAATATAATATCTGATTTTTGCAGAAATAAACTTAAAACCTGATTTTTAAAAAGGTATACCTGATTTTTAAAAAAGTCAAACTAAACCCCTGATTTTATGTAATTTCCTCTAAATAGAAGTCGTATGATAAGACCAGAGTCTGATCAGGTCATTGACTTGGATTCTAGTTACCAAAAAGAAAAAGAAAAAGCAGTACAGGGCCCGAAGGCCGACATAATTTGGGCCGGAAAGGGAGCCCATTTAATTTCATGATAAATCTATCAACTAGTCCATTACAATATCTTTGTCTTCCCCATCTCTACTCTGCCAAAAGCGTAATAAAACGGGACCCTCTCCTCGCAAAACCCTTTACCAAATTCCTCAAAATACACAGAAACTATTTGCGTGTAAAATCATACAGTTTATTTACGCACAAACATGGCGTACATGGCTTCTTTTTGTGCGTATTCCCCCACGGAAGCTTCCTCGAGCTCCACCTGTATGCCAAAATCTCCATTGAATTCTTCAACACCAATTCGTTCTATGAAAACAGGGAATAAGCATCGTGGATCTGTACGAATTGGTATGGTTTTACAGAAAAAGATGTCTTTAGTTATTGCATCTCGAGTTCTGGCGCATGCGCGTGAAATATCGGACGAGGGCGGTGAAGAAGAATGTATATTGAATAATTGTAATGGTGGATTTAGTTTAGTTTCTGAAGATTCTGTATTTTCATCTCAGGTAAAAAAAAATAGAAAATCAATATTTTTTTATGTTTCTTGGATTGGATAGATGCAACTTCACTAATTTTGGATGCCAGGATTAGTGGGGGAACTTGTTGTATTGGAACTATGTAATTTGCGAACAAATAAATTGTCAAAACTGTTACTTTTCCTTCTATATATTCTCTCCGATTTTTTTTTCTTTAATTTTTTATTGGGCAAAGCTTAAAATTTTACCGACCTATTTGTAAATAAGTAAAAGTAAATTTTTAATACATAATTCTTAAGAGTGAAAGTCGAGAGGTAATATAGCCAAACATGTGTAGATACAAAAAGTTAAATAAAATAACTTTTTTGAACTTAGCCAATAGCCAGACATGTTCTGAAACAACAATACTGGTATTGTTAATTTGTACTAAATAGAGTGAAGTGTATAATTGTGGTGTGCATTGGCATATGTGTGTGTGTTCACTTATTTTCTGATTCGATTCATATGTTTGAATTCATTTGTGCAAGTTCACAGCTTGGAATGAACCACATTATATGGCAGCCATCCATTTATTTGACCCTGCACGTGCCCCACGAATTACGTTGTAATTAAGTTTTAAATACAGAACATAATCTAACCGTACTTGCTTAAGTTTTTTAAGACAATACTTTATGACTTTTTAATCTTCTGAAACCTATTAGAAAGTTTATGATTATAATATGTCTGCATGGGATTGAGGCCTTCAAATTGGACTAAAAATAATTTGATTGAAATTGGGATTTAATTTTCATAATCTTCCTATTTCAAGATATAAATTCCACACTGCAAAACATAAAACACAACCTTTTCCCGTTCTATTGGTCAGAAATGTGCACAAACAGTTTATTTGTCAGATCTCAATGTAAATGCAGAGATTAAGAAAGCCTTTTTTTTTTATACTGGTAGCTATTATATTCTTCTGTTTATAGAGCATAAATGTGTTTATGCAATTGTAATGTTCATGATATTTCTTTCTTGATATAGTCCATCAATGGATATTTCAAATGGTTAACTCGGCTTTTTTGTGATGGCCTCATATTTTGAAGGGTAATACACATTCCAAACAAAGTGTCGAAAAGAAAATAGAAAGCACGTCAAATATGAAGACACCGACTCTCATGCCCTCACATGGAAGCCTGACAGGGGGAGGCACAAGGGCTGGTCTTTTCAGGACACCAATATCTGGGGGAGTGCAAAATGCAACATCTGCTCATGGCTTGCCCAGGCCAGCCTTAGCGGTCCGAAATTTAATGGAGCAGGCAAAACTTCTTATTTGTTTATAAACTTTTGTTCATCTTCATCAGTTAATACTCCCAGCAGCTTCAATTTATTCAAGAAGGAGCTTCTAACATGTTTTCTCCTCAGTAATTATGTTATTCATTCTGCATTTCAATCAATGAAGGCTAGGTTTGCTCACTTGTGTACCATGATGTCACAAATGCACCACCGGAGGAATGGTTATCCATTTGGTTCACTTGTAGATTTTGTTCCAGATCTGATGGGACGTATGTAATGCATTATTTGCTTTCTTGTTTATTACATGATAGTCTTATTTTCTTTAGTTTCCTCCCCCTTTAGTTTTATTAAAATGGATGGATTAACTCTCAGAAAGTAATTTTTTTTTTGGTTAAGGTCGTGGCGTATAACTTTAATATTTGGTCTTGCAGATCCAATATTTTCATTATCACCACTGGCCATACACACCCGAAATTTGTTAGCCGATCCAAGGTGCACTTTAGTAGTACAGGTTAGCAATTTAAAGTTTGCTTTACAATATTTTGTTTGTGTTTTTCCGTCTATGGATTACATTGACTTGCATAATTCATAGATTCCGGGATGGAATAGCTTATCAAATGCAAGGGTAACAATATTTGGCGATGTCCACCCCCTTCCAGATGATCAGCAGGTGACTGTCTTTCTCAGGTTTATATATGAGATTTAAAGAATGAACCAATAGATCTGAGCATGCTTGGCTTGGCTTAAAAGTTTACTTATAAACAAAAAAGTTATAAAATAAATATATTTTTTTGTTGGTCAAAATTGGAAATAAGCTAGTTACTTATTTTGACTCTAAAATAAGTTAATCTTACTTTCAAAATAAGTGTTTCTTCACTGAGTTAAGAAAAGAGCAACATATTCAAATATGCTTAGAAATAAATGTAACTTTATTGTTCGTAAGCTTAAGCCAAACATTTATTGTTCGTAATGAATATAAATCCCGAATGATGATTATGCCTTGCTACATCACCAGGAATGGGCTCATAAACAGCACATAGCAAAGCATCAACAAGGGCCTTCTCAACAGTGGGGGAACTTCTACTACTTCAGGATGCAGAATATAAGGTTAGCTCTTTTTATTATCAAAAGAAAATAGTTATCTGACTTTATGAATACGTTGACGCTTCATCACTATTTTGAAAATCCAAATTCACTCATATCGGGAATCTCATTAAGGTTTTAAGTAAATCTTAACGGTTTGCCTTAAATTTGTGCTGGCCACATACGTCGTGAACTTATAAGGTCATATCCTACTGGCAGCGATATATATTTCATTGGAGGCTTTGGAACTGTTGCTTGGGTTGATGTTAAAGAATTCGAAGAAATTCAACCTGATAAGATTGCAGTCAATGGGGGTGAACAAAATCTCAAGGTTTTTTTTTTGCAGTCACAATCTGTACTTCAATTAATTCGGTTTGTTACTTTGTGATGCTTTTTTATACGAGGTACTTTTAGTAACTTGTTATGCACTTTGTTTCACTTGTAAACATGTATGGCAAGTTTGATAGGTGAAATAGAGAGTCTTCGATTGTAATCAAAATGACAAAGAAGCTAAATTTTGTTTGTTGCACTGTCTGATTCTGATGCACTTGTGGTTTGTTTGGTAAGGTGAACTATATAGTATCAAACATATCCTTATAGCATGTTCTGTGAGGAGGATTAAATAGGATTGGACCGTATTAGAAAAGAAAGAAAAGCTAAAATCTTGTCCATTGTGTTGTCTATGTCATGTATTGCACAATGAAATGCTATAGTGTTTATGTTTAATTTACTCTGACTGTATCCTTATTTTCCTCGATAGGAACTTAATGCAATCTTTTCGAAGCCCTTGAAAGAGCTTTTGGCCAAGGAAGCTGATGTAGATGATGCTGCCCTTATATCGATAGACAGCAAAGGAACTGATATTCGTGTCCGTCAAGGTGCACAGGTATACTGCTTAGCATATGAACATCAGTTTCCCCATTCTGTCACTTCCTTTTTTTATGTCTACGTTCTCTCGTTCTTGCAGTATAACGTACAGAGGATTTCATTCGAAGTTGGTAGTTCTGTTGAAACACTTGAAGAAGCTAAGAAAGCACTTTCAACTCTAATAGATCAAGGCCAGGTTCACAATTTGCAAAAATAAGTTGCAAATTCTTTTTACTGCTTTAATCTTATGGAGACTTCATCAGGGCAAACACAGCAAGTTTGTAAAATTATGCATTTGAATGATAGCAAGTTGTGAATAAGTAACATCATAAAGTTGTAGGCAGTGGGACTGAGAATATCTTTTGATATCTTCACTTGGGAATGTTTTTAACTCAATTCCCCACAGTAACAGAATTACGATATTTACCGCAAACTGATGGTCTCATTGAGCTGAGGAATGGAAAGTTAGATATTTTTCAAGGTGTTTTTTTTTTTTTTTGCAGTAAAAATTTTCTCTGGAGCTGAATGGTTGGCTGTGTGACTGTTTGGTCATACCTAGATTTCAAAAACAACCTAAACGTTTTCTTAGCAAAGCATCCTATTCACTATCCTACTCCAGCGTCTTCATCTGCATTATTGTCCCCCCGAATCTTGTATTAGCTTTCTCAGACAACCCGTAATCGTTCTTTAAGAAAGCGTATAGGAGCAACAGCAGAGCTCGAGATACATCAAAAGAAAATCCTCCAAAACTCTCGAAGGCTACACAACCCGTGTGCATGCACACAGATGCATGATGTGCAAAATGGACACAAATCTCAACCATCTTCGCCCCCAACACCATCGTCACATTTGGCCGTTAGTGTAGGACCAGGTTGTCACAAGTACTCCTTCTCGTCATCCCCTTCCCCACCCTTTTCACGGCCTCCTTTGAGTAAGAAGTTATTTAGTCCAGCAGCAGGACCCTCAACCTTCTCATTGGATCAAAGAGACATCGATGAACAGGATTCCAAAAGCTGCTGTCTTAGAGACCTGTAAGTTCTATGACCACATGCTATTTACTTTCCTTTGCATTCTTCTCCTTCTAAGAGCAGCCATCAGGGTTACCAAAATCGTAGTTCATGGCCGTTTCTTTTTCTGAGAGAGGATATATATGATGCCAAAACGATATTTTATGTCGAGCTCATAAGTAAGTCAACCATCATTTTTATCAACACATTCGAACTCACAGCTTTTATCCATATATTTTGTAACTTGGCTTATAATCTACAAAAAAATTTACTAAACGCGCACTTAATTGAAACTTCTGTATATAGTAGATATCAATACGTGCTTGTCATTCCCGAGTTCTTTTTCCCTCACAAATGTTCTCTATTTTCGTGAATGGATTCCTAACGCAGAGGATGGCAATTCATTCGACAAATTCCTACCTCTTTATCTATGTTTGAAAATATTTGGATTTTCAAAATCCCTTGGAAGAGATTTTTTATGTCCTTTCAATAGTATTGCATGAATTCTGAACGATTCTGAATGTTCTTAAACAAAATGAAACGGGCGTTCTGGTGGGTTCTTATCCTCCCGATTCATGAATCTCTCCCTTCTAGAAATAGTTTTTCTCACACTTTCTGTGACTGGAAAATTTTAGAAGGCCTTCGACCATGAATTTAAGGTAGCTACCACAATTAAGTTATGAAGTTGTGAAACCTTTGTTTGCTTTACAGTGTTGTTGATTGTTGCATTTTATGAAATGCAGAGGTTGCAGTGGTTGCTGTTAAAATGTTGCGCCTCGTTACCTCATCAAGACCATGTATACGAGCAATAGAGACAACAATTTGAAATCAAGAATTAATAGATGCTGGCAGCCTTGTTAGAATTTCCAATTCACCGTCGTCAAGAAACCGATGAGTAAAATGGTCCGCAATAGTAAAAGATTCTATGCCACTAAATCCATTAACAGAATGTTTGACATGCCGTACTCGATGTGACTAGATGGAATATTATAAACGCGATATTAACATCTCTTTCTTCTTCACTGTTGTTTAGTACTGCATAGCTAATCTTAAACAAGCACAAGAGTTTCTGGTAAACTTGAGGAAAACTCGTCAATTCTATTTAATGAAAAATTGTAACAATACATTGTTGGATAAAATCGGATACATACCATCGTACTGCATTAATAACAATAAAATTGTGGAACAATGAAAAAAGGAATGCGAAGAAATAAATTAGAACTCAAAATCCTATAAGGTTTTTAAGTCGCCTCCAAGTGCAATTTGGTAGGCGTACCACTGAACTTGACCATATAATGAATAAGATTATGAACTTCCTTTTCTACATTAATTCTTTCAAATACTTATTTAATCCTTCCTACAAACATATTTTATAATTTATGCCCCCAGCTACATGCAGACAATTGGAAACCACTCAAAGAAAGAAAATAAATCATAACCTTATTTCTCATACTAAGTTCAGATTTAGATAATGAACGCTCAAGTTCGGCGTTCAGTACGTTATTGCTGGTTTTGTGGCCTCGACTGCTGAAAGTTGGGATGATTCTGTGCCGTGTTTTGCATCTGTACCATGTTAGGTTGTAGATTCTGTCCGCTTTGCTGCATGTTTCCGAATGCACCTTGTGAGCTATGCTGCTGCTGCTGGAGGGGCATCATGCCACCGGAATTGGCTGCTCCCATGTTAAACACTGAAGGGAGCTCAAAGTTAGCCAAATTGGAAACGTATTTACGCGAGTGTTTTGGCTACGGTTAAAATACGTAAATTTTACTTTGTTTCTAAAATGTTTAGATTACTTCGTTATAGTTTTAAGTTATTAAAAAAAATTATTTTAAGAGTAACTCTTATTTATTGCCCAAAAAGTAACTTACTTTAGAGCAGGTATAGCTAAGCTTAAAAAATAAAAAGTAAAAATCATCTTTTAAGTAACTTTTTGTTTCTTAATTGTAAGTCCAAATGTTACTTGTTTTTAAAGTAACTCCTATCTTGCAGTAAAAAAATATGTAACTTACTTTATAACTTTGACCAATAAGAAGTTTACTTATTTTAAAACAAACTTGTTTACTCAGCCAAAATATTAAGTTTTACCAAACATACATGAGGTGAAATTTCATATGCTTATTTACATATTTCTTTGTCCATAATGTAACTAATTGATGCATTTGAACAAAACTAAAGTATGTGACAAAAAAAAAAAAGAAGGAAGATGAAGAAGAGGAAGAAGAAAATAGTTCATACTTTGGTCGCTGAGATTTTGGGAAGGAAGATTCCGATTGCCACCAGACATTCCAACCTGAAAGCAAAAGATATAAGCACGAGTGATTAACAATATAGATTATGTCAAAAGACAGATAAAAATTGTACTGAGTTCCAAACATGTAACATTCTAATCAGGTGGTGTGAAGCCTAGAAGGATTTCAAACAGCAAATAGTTAATTAATCGCCAAATAAACAAAAAAGTAGTTAAAAAGAAGATTTCAAGATGATTAAAAACATGATTGCGCAAGTATTTGTGGATTTTAAATACTTGAGAATTTAAGACTGGACTCGAGAGTATTTTCTTTTTCAGCGTTGTCAAGTACCACATATTCCTCCTTGCAAAACATACTAAGTGTGTTTTAGGCTTAAAAAGCCTTTAGGTTTCATCCACACAGTTGATTGATATTACATAACTTCATGACCCTTTTTTTTTAATTATTATCGTCATGGCGTTTTATGATTCGTGTGCATCACTAGGCAATAGTTGAAATTTGAAAGCTAACCTGCATTCTCGGAAAAACTGATTGTGATGACATCATAGCCATGTTTGAAATCTGAAATTAAAATAATAATAATAATGACGATGAGGATGATTTTCTCAATGGAGAAAAAGTAGGATATAGAATACAAGTTCCAATATGGGCGTCAGAGACAAACTAGAAAAAAGAAGGCCTCTGAGAATCTTAAATAATTCTAAACCCATGTTTAACATATGACTATTAAATATAAAAATACAAATCTACGCGTCTTTAGGCAATAAGAAGGATGAGGGCTTTCTTGGCGTCGGTGGTGTTTCCCAGTGGACCATAAAATTGGAATATAATAAACCTCTACTTTCTGTCCTTGAACCTATAAAAATCTTCTCTACATTTCCCACCTAAAAGTGGCAAAATTATCCTCTTAAGAGTGAGTATAAATGACATACAAGAGTCCAAATAATGTTCTCTCGAATCAAGCATGGTACCGAAATAATTAGTACACATCCGAGAATTCTCCAAAAAAAGGAAGCAATTACATACCTTGACGTTAAACCAAGTGAACAACATGTGCTAATAGGTCAAAATATATTGAACAATTAGAGAACATGTTAAAACGAGAACCAGTTTGAAGCTCTCATAGTGTGCAGAAAACTTGTGAGGTTTGATTATTAGATGATGAGTGAAAACACAAAATCATTTCAACGAGGTAAAAATAATTTTTGAAAAAAAATAAAATTGGCTCTAATTAGAAATAAGTTGGACTTGTGAGGGTCACATATTGGTTAAACGGGAAATTAGATGGAATTCATTGTTGAGGACAGTTAGTGCAACTACAACAAATGGTTCGAGAGCCAACTTGCTACTTGGATAATATATTGGGGACTAATGGTGCAACTTCCCCTAAATAAATATCATATTTCAAGCATTCGTACCCATGAAGTAAAAAGATTTCATGGAAAATGGACGATTAATTGAAAGGAAAGGCGAAAGGCGTCTTATCACCTGAGATGGTGTAGTTTGGGCAGAATTAAACATCGCATTATTTGCAGGGCTAGAGAACTGGTTTATTTGTCGACTCAGCTGGTTTCCTTGGTTCATTTGGTTTTGATTCACATGCATTGCTCCTGAAGAAAGCTGCCTATGTTGGGCTGTCAATGGCTGAGAGAACTGCATATGTTGCTGGCCGTGCATCTGTAAGGAAGCATTTTATTTAATTAAACGACTAATAGAATTTGTATAGAATTCACAAGAACGGCAATAAAAGAGAGATAATCGGCATTTGAGGGACACGACCTGAGTGCTGACATGCCTCAAACACGTGTTTGACAAACCACATGGCGTCCTAATTTTTAGGTAATTTTAATTTTCAAACACGCAGGTTGAAGCTCTGCACTACACAGATTCGGCAGGTCCCATTACAAGTTTGGAAAGTAAAACTTCAACAATTAGAATATGTGGGTGAAACAAACAAATAATGTCTAAAAACTTGTACAAAGTTCATGTCATATTTGTTTTATATCTACTATATGCATTTTTTTATTTTCTATTTTTATTTCACAGGCACTAGTAAACAAAGTACAACACAAAATTTCTTAATACAACCAATCAACATCCAAATTCAAAAGATTTCACCAACAAAAAAGTCAAAACCTAAACTAAATGAGTATTACTTATTTGAATACACACACACACACACATATATAAATATGTATATATACATATATATGTATCATTTCATTGTATTTAAATCAGCAGGTTTATGTACGATTTCACTGCATTTTAATCAACCAGCACTACGTTTTTGAAAAGTTATGACAAGCATCTTTCAAATGGCTATAGAGATTGCAGTCTCTCAAGAACATTCTTTTACCGACATTATTGAGCCCCGTGGTGCACCGACACGGACATGTGTCAAACACGTCAACAAGTGATTTTTCAAAAAAGTACCGATACGACACGTTGCCAGCACATTGACTAAATTCTTCATTTATATAATATAAATATAGTTTTATACTTACTATTAATTTTTTTTTATTGAAATCTTTTAAATATGAGTATTTATTTGTTATTTAACAATAATTTTGAGTTAAAAATATTTAATATTTATAATAAACAAAGAAAAATGACACAGTAGAGTGTCCGAGGAGTGTCGATGCCCAACACGTGTCCGATACGGATATGCCATCCTTGTTGAAGTGTCCGTACAACAAAGATTGAGACCAAAACGTAGCTCACATTCACTAAATTATCTCAATTTTTGCCTCGTGGTAAATGTCTCGATTTTTTACCACACAACATTTATGAAGTCGAGCAATATTAGCTTTAGAAGGTTTACATGTGATGTTACCTGCTGAAACTTTTGTTGTCCCTGGCCCTGCAAATCGTGCAGCTGCGGTAATTGGTTCTGCAGAAAACATAGTGTATGATAATTGTAGGTTGTCCAGTGGAAAACTAGGTAAAGATAGCATTAAAAGAGTAGAACACGCTGGAAAGGATTCTTTCATGGTGGCCAAACGTTCTTGTCTTGGGTGTGTGGGTGGGGGTGGGGTCGTGTGCCAGCATCTGATACAAGAGAGCAATCCATTTTAATTGAACCAAAACATAAAATTTTGCAGTCTCAGAGTGTGTAGGCATAGCAGAGGGACGTTTCCAGCTTCAAAATAAGATGCAGATAATGACAAAATTTAATGTCCAGAGACATCAGTATCAATGAAAATGTACACTGAACTAAGACATAAGTTTAAACGAGATGTGATTGTAACCTCGGATCATTACAAGTAAGTGAAAAATACCTGTCCCATGTTCATTGAAGATTGCCTAAACTGCTGTTGGGCCAGAAGCTGTTGATGTTGAGGTATTTGCATCATTTTCTGTCTTTGCTGCTGTTGCTGTTGCTGCAGTTGCTGGAGTGACTGTTGCTGAGGAGACGGCGTGTTCATCATGCTTGCACCGGATCTCGGCGAATTGGCATATTGTAGAGGAGATGCTGTTGTGTTGTCGAACGAATTACTAACCGTAGCACCAGATGGGGAAGCCGCTGATCTCCCGAGAAGTTGTGCTCCAGAAGCCTATAATAAACACCATGGGTCAACCCACAAAACAATAAGCATGTTTGTCTACGCTTAAAAGTCTACTTATAAGTAGTAAATAATTATTTTATTGTTCAAAGTTGGAAATAAGCAAGTTACTTATTTCGACACTAATGTAATAATAACTTTGTCTTCTTTTAAAAGAAAGATAGAACAACAAAAATAAATCACACTAAAACATGGGCATCACAACTGCTTAAATAATGGCAATTAAGGGACGACACGGCTACAAACACATAACAGAACTTCAAATTCCCTTCTCAAATTTTAGATTTACACGGCAAGCTTGAAAAATATACCTGCAACAAATTTCCTTGGCTGTTATTGCTGGTTGACGAAAGCGGAGGTGTATTCTTCAGATACATCCCTAAAGTTGAAGAACATATTATTGTATGGAGTCACAAACTTGTGACCGGAATTCGGGAGAAAAAAATGTCAAAGCGAGGACTATAGGTCGTACCAGATGTATCAGAATAATTCTGTGGACCATCATTGGCAGCGAGGATGTCTACCAAATGCACGGGGAGTGTAGATGTTATCTGCCTTTGGTCTCCAGATATTCTTAACCCTGAACAAGAATCAATTATTATTAAGGCGAAGATGCATCACAAAAGGAAAACTTTCTTGACAAGAGTACAATACGAGGAAAGTTGAAGAGAAGTATTACCTTCTCCATGATTTACAGCACTCCGAAGCAAATTTTCTTGTTCTTGTATTTTTGCTGCTTGAACCTTGTCGATAGTTGGAAGAATTGTCGGCCCCTGTCGAGTGCCAAAGTAGGCTTTACGAGTATCGGCTATCACCTTCTCCGCACTTTCACAGGCTGCTCCAATCATATCAATTCTAGCCTGAGAACAATCGAAATGGGATCATTAAGTGCTTAATTTACAGATGCAAGGTCAATTTTCTGCAAAAATAGTTTACGCACTTTTAACTTCTCAATTTGTGCCGAAACTGGAAGGTTCTGCATGCCCTGTAACAACTGTTCCCTCTTGGTGTTGTCGTCTATTTCCATCTCGGGCAAAAGTTTCGATGACAACATAACAGGTAAAACTGTATAGAAAGAATTCCAATTCCATTAATATACAATAAAGAACACAACAACTATAAACTGGCCAAACCTTAAAATATGTAAATTTTAAATAAATAACTTTTTACCGATCAAAGTTGAATATCCATAAGTTACTTATATATGATCAACAGTACGAGTCACTTTTTTTGAGTTAATATTCCAAAAAAAATAAAAAAATTAACTCTTCTTATGTCTATAGATATAGATGTTTCGAAGTGATATTAAATCCCAGTGAATTACTGAAAACGAATAACGAACTACATTCCGAAAAACTATATCAATAGAAAGCACATTAAAGAAACATACTTGTTGCATTCTCGGCATTAACATTCCGAGGATGCACAACAAAAGCCTTGGAAACATTCTTAATGTCTTCAACAATGTTGAACAGCTCCATATTCACCATAGAAAATTGCGACATAACATCTTGCCTGTTTCAGTACATATAAAAAACCCACAAATTCCATATTTTATTCACATAAAATCAGATAAATTCACAATTTTCGATAATTAGGTTTTCTAATTTGTTCCGATACTATTATCTTGAATTCTTCTTATATTATTGGGGAATTATTGCGAAATACCATTTGGGGACGGCGTTGGCGCGTGAAATGGCGTCGAATTCTTCGAGGATGCGAGAAATGGCTTTGAAAAGGCTAGTGGCTCGAGTCTTGATGGAATCGAGATTGAGCTGCTGTTGGACCGCCGAGTTTAGCCTCTCGACGGCCCTTGCTGGCGGCTGATGTTGTTGGCTTTGGACTCCTGTAGCTGCTCCTTCCACGGCCGCCATCACTGTAATTCAGTATTCACACGCGCCGCCGCGTT